GTTCAATTTAAGAGCTTTTCAAATATATCAAATACTGGGTCAAAATGCAGGTTCACTATGTGAACTTAGGAAATGCAGTCACTCCCAAGCTTTTAGCCTGTTTTTATATCAAACACATGGCACGTAATTCTGTACAACTACAATATCATGTGGTTCAGACTTTTTTTGTTCAGTTGGTTCTTTCTGTCCATTCTTTACTTGAAATATATCTACTGCAGTTAAGAATAAGCAACCACTCCACTTTTACTTTTTCAAGATGCTATTCTCGAAAGCAACGTTTATCCTAAAGTCAGTTTACTTTGTATATTTCTTTAGCTCACGTTTATTGAACCCCAACTAAATGCCAGGTTTTGAACTTAGCACATTCACATATGCTGCCTGATTTTATTTTATTTTTCTCTCTCTGGTGGCATTGATGATAACCACGGGGAATAAGAGCTCAGTCTGTGGACTCAGGGAGAACTGGCTCACAACTTGGCTCTTACAATCACTTGACACTTCCAAGTCTCAGTTTCTTTGCTTAATAATGACATTAAAAACTTACATCTGGGGTGAAAAAGAGAATTCAATTGCCTGAACGCTTAAGGTGTCATAAAATCATTAACTATCTCAATTAATCATTTTAACAACCCAAATCCATGATCGTGATGCCACACTATATACCAGTGTAAAACAAAACAGAATCCTTGTCTCAAACCTTCAATAATCTGACTGGAAATACATACTTAAACACAAATAATAAATATTCATTCAGTACTTACAATATTCCAGGAACTGTGCTTCAAAATATACTTAATAAGAAACTTCCTTATACATTTACATTCAAAATTTGCTAAGTGCATGTTTGTGGTAAAACACAATTAAAATGCATCTCCAATTCCTGCTTTATTCATACTTCCTGCTCTAATAATGCCTAGAGAACAGTGCCTTGCACATAATTAGTGTTAAAAATACATGTTGAATTTTGGTTTTGGATTAGGCTATTTAGTGTAAAATTGGTTGAGAAACCATGTAGCACTGTATGATAATATGACCGACTATTGATATTTGACATAGAAATTACCTAAAATTGAAGAATTGACCTGCGTTACCTCTGCTCTTACTGTATATAAATTAAATCCATGTTATAGAACGTATAAAAGATATATATTTAAAATACAAATATGCAAATTTAGCCTTTTGAATTAAAAGTGAACTTTAAAATTCAGCCTCTTTATGGTGTCAAATCTAATTTTCCTCTCTCTGTCTCTCTTCTCCTCTCCTTCCCTCTTGCTAATGATGAATTTGTACAAATACATTTAAGAATATAAGATGAACACACAAATGTGAATCACTGTGGTAAGAGTCAGGATAGTTGATTCATAAACTCAAAATTTACTGAGCCATAACATAGAAAAAAATAAATAAAATGTATTCCCTTCTAGAAGATAAAAAAGGATCAAAGTAAATTTACTTAGTTTTTATTTATTCTGCAGAAGTTATTGCTTATTCTAGGAATGAGTAAGTGGTCATTTGAAGACAGTATTTTTCTTTCCTTTGTCCATAAAGAGTTGATGATGAATTCAGAAAACCAAGACCATTGAATTGCCCACATTATTTATGATTACGCATATTTCTTCCCTTTCTTGCTTTTCATCAGGTTGGCATGCTGTCTGCTGTGCCACACTTAGTAATGACAATTATTGTGCCCATCGGAGGGCAAATTGCAGATTTTCTAAGAAGCAAGCAAATTCTTTCAACTACCACAGTAAGAAAGATCATGAATTGTGGTGGTAAGTACATAAGTGGCAGTAAGGACATAGTTTGACTTCATTAAGTTTTTTTTAAATTATGAATATTCATGAGATACAAAGCTGATTGTCACCCCTCATGGCATGATGTGAGGGTCAGATTCATACTGGCAGCATACCCATTACCACAAATTGCTTTTGTACCCCGTGTCCCTCACCCAATTATCCCGACCTCCTTCCCCCTCCTCCTTTCCCCCACATTCCACATTGTAGCCCAAGGAATGTTCACTCTCTCTGCAAGACTAACACAAGACTGTGGTCCTTCCTTCCTTCCTTCTTTCTCTCTTAGCTCCCACATATCAGTGAGATTCTGTGGTATTTATCCTTCTGTGCTTTGCTTATTTCACTCAACATAAGTTTATCCAGGTTCATCCATGTTTTTGCAAATGGGAGAATTTCATTCTTTTTTATGGCAGAGTAGTATTCCATGGTGTACATATACCACAGTTACCTTATCCAATCATCCATCAATGGACATTTAGGTTGGTTCCATGTCTTGGCTATTGTACACAGAGCTGAAATGAACATGGGAGTGCAGTTATCCCTTCGACGTGATGATTCCCACTCCTCTTTTGGTATATACCCAAAAGTGGGATTGCTGGATCGTATGGAAGATCTATCTGTGGTTGTTGGAGAAACCTCCATACTGTTTTCCATAGTGGTTGTACTAATTTACAGTCTCACCAGTAGGATAGGAGTGTTCCCTTCTCTCCACAACCTTGCCAGCATTTGTTATTCACTGTATTTTTTATTACAGCCAGTCTAACTGGGGTGAGGTGGTATCTCAATGTAGTTTTAATTCGCATTTCCCTGAAACCTAGTGATGTCGAGCATTTTTTCATGTGCCTGTTGTCTATTTGTATGTCTTCCCTTGAAAAATGTCTATTCAGCTCCTTTGCACATTTTTTTAATTGGGTTTTTTTTTTTTTTTACTATATAATTGCTTGAATTCTATGTATATTCTGGATATTAATCTCTTGTCAGATGCATAGTTATCAAAAATTTTCTCCCACTCTGTAGGTTGTCTTTCACTCTGTTGATTGTTTCCTTTGCTGTGAAGAGGCTTTTTAGTTTGGTATAGTCCCATTTGTTTATATTTTCTTTGGCTGCTTGTGCTTTCAGGCTCATGTTCATAAAGCCTGTGCCCAGACCTAGTTGCTGAAGTGTTTCACGTATATTTTCCCTTAGTAATTTTACAGCTTCAGGTCTTATACTTAAGTCTTTAATCCATTTCGAGTTGATATTAGTGCATGGTAAAAGGTGCATATCTAGTTTTATTCCTCTGCATATGGATATACAGTTTTCCCAGCACCACTTCTTGAAGAGGCAGTCTTTTCCCCAGTGTAGATTTTTGTTGCCTTTGTCCAAAATCAGATGGCTGTAAGCCTGAGGGGTGATTTCTGGGTTCTCAATGCTACTCCACTGGTCTGAATGTCTATTTTTACACCAGAATCATGCTCTTTTGATTACAATAGCTTTGTGGTATAATTTGAAGTCAGGTAGAGTTATGCCTCTGGCTTTACTTTTTTTGCTCAAGATTGCTTTGGCTATTTGGTGTCTTTTGTTTTTTCATATGAAAGGTAAGATTGTTTTTTCCATTTCTGTGAAGAATGTCATTGGTATTTTGATGGGGATTGCATTGAATCTGTAGATTGCTTTGGGTAGTATACACATTTTCACAATGTTATTTCTTCCAATCCAAGAGCATGGCCTATCTTTCCATCTTTTTTTGTCTTCTTTAATTTCTTTCAGAAGTAGTTTGTAGTTCTTACTGTAGAGGGCTTTCACCTCTTAAATTGATCCATAGATACTTTATTTTATTTTTTGTGACAATTGTAAATGGGCTTACTTTATTTCTCTTTCTGTTAGTTTATTATTTGAGTATATAAATGCAACTGATTTGGGGGCATTTATTTGGTATCCTGCAACATTACTGAAGTTATTAACCAACTCTAGGAGTTTTTTGATAGAATCTTTAGGTTTTTCTATATATAGTACCATGTCATCTGCAAATAGAGAGTTTGACTACGTCTTTTCCAATGGATTGCTTTTATTTCTTTCTCTTACCTGATTGCTCTGGCTAGTACCTCCAGTACTATGTTAAATAGAAGTGGTGAGAGTGGGCATCCTTGTCTTGTTCCTGCTCTTAAGGGAAAGGTCTTCAGTTTTTCCCCATTCAGAATGATACTGGCAGTGGGCTTGTCATAAATGGCTTTTATTGTGTTGAGATATTTTCTTTCTATACCTAATTTGTTGAGAGTCTTTGCTGAATTTTGTCAAATGCTTTTTCAGCATCGAGATAATCATACAGTCTTTGTCCTTGAGTTTGTTGATGTGATGTATCACATTTATTAACTTTTGTATGTTGAACCATCCTTGCATCCCTGGGATGAATCCCACTTGATCATAGTGTATAATTTTTTAAATATGTTATGGTATTCTAATTGCTAATATTTTGTTATGGATTGTTGCATCTAGGTCCATCAAGAATATTGGCCTGTAATTTTCTTTTTTTGCTGTTTCTTTATCTGGTTTTGGTATCAGAGTTATGTTGGCTTCATAGAATGGGTTTGGGAGAATAGCTTATGTTTCAATTGCTTGGAATAGTTTGAGGAGAATTGGTATTAACTCCTCTTTAAAAGTATGATAGAATTCAGCTGTAAAACTATCCGGACCCAAACTATTCTTTGTTGGAAGATTGCTAATTTCTGCTTCAATCTCCTTCCTTGTTATTGGTCTGTTCAGGTTTTCTATCTCTTGGTTCAGTCTGGGAAGTTTGCATGTGTCTAGAAACTTATCTGTATCTTCCAGTGTTACACTTCTCCCTGTGTAATGGAAATGCAAAAAGGATTACTCAAAGCACCATGAATGCCATGCGAGGTCTGAAGTGACTGCACTTCAGCAACTCCCCTGTTCAAAGGAGAAAGCTGAATGTGACAGCCCTGATTCAAAGTTAGCTTCTCTTTTTTATTGTAAAGACAAGGAAGTTTCACAAGAAAAATCAGTTGATTCAATCATCAAAGAAAGACATAAAAACAAAGGCACTGTAAAACTATTACCAGCAGTAAAATTTAAAATGTGACATTCCAGAATGCAATTTGTAAAGAGCTAAGTCAATACACCAACAAACAGCTTGCCCTTAGCAAACAGTTTTTTCCCTACAGCAATTTCTTCAGCATATTTAAACAACAATCAAGCAGCTTCCTCAAAATATCTTAAAAACAATCAGTAGGTTAAGTTGCACCAAAGACATCTGCCCTTAGAGCCAGCAATTTTGCTGTGTTACAATTCTTTCTCTACTACAGAGACTTTAGCCCAAGGAAAGTTTTCTGTCTTTCACAAGCTTAACAATTTTATGTGTAATTCTAAAAAGTTAGTCTATACCTGAAACTACAGGGCCTTGGAAGCTAGGCCCTGTAAAGTACATTTGCTTTATAAATGTTAGTATCCTCCACATTCCAGATTTTCATATTTGTTGTTATATAGTTGTTTATAAATAGTATCTAATGATTCCTCATATTTCTGTATCAGTTGTAATGTCTCCCTTTCATTTCTGATTTTTGTTATTTGGGTCTTCTCTCTTCTTTTGTTAGTTAACCTAGCTAATGGTTTGTCTATTTTATTTATCTTCTCGAAAAACCAACTTTTTGTTTTGTTGAATTTTCTATTGTTTTTGGGGTCTCCATTTCATTTAATTCTGTTCTGATCTTAATTATTTCTTTCCATCTACTACCTTTACCCTTGGATTATTGTTGTTTTGCAAGTTCTTTGAGGTGTAGTGTTAGTTCACTTATTTGAAGTCTTTCTGTTCTTTTGATGTAAGCATTTACTGCAATAAATCTGCCTCTTAGTCCTTCTTTTGCAGTATCCCAGAGGTTTTGGTGTGATGTATCTTTATTTTCATTAGTTTCTAGAAATTTTTTGATTTTCTGATTAATTTCTTCTTAGACCCATAGGTCATTCAGGAGCCTATTATTTAGTTTCCATGTATTTGTATAGTTTCAGGAGTTTTGATTATTATTTATTTCCAATTTTAGTCCATCGTGGTCTGAAATCATTGGAATGATTTCAATTTTTTAAATTTTCTGAGACTAGATTTGTGACCTAATTTGTGGTCTATCCTGGAGAATGTTCCGTGAGCTGATGAGAAGAAAGTATATTCTTCAGTTGTTGGGTGAAACGTTCTGTATATATCTGCCAAGTCTAGTTGGGCTAAGATGTAGACTAAATCCTGTGTCTCTTTGTTGACTTGTTGCCTGGAAGATCTATCCCATACTGAGAGAGGGGTGTTCAGATCACCCAGTATCATTGTATTAGGTCCTATTTCTTTCTTTAGGTCTAAGAGTGTTTGCTGTATATATCTGGGTGCTCCAGTATTTAGTGCATACATGTTTATGATTGTTATGTCTTCTAGCTGGATAGTTCCCTTTATCATTATATAATGGCCTTCTTTGTCTTTTTTAATGTTTTTTGGTTTAAAGTCTATTTTGTCTGGTATAAGAATAGCTACTCCTGCTCATTTTTGGTTTCCATTTGCATGGTATATCTTTTTCCATCCCTTCACTTTTAGTCTATTTGTGTCTCTACAGGTGAGGTTGGTCTCTTGAAAACAGCATATACTTGGGTCTAGCTTTTTAATCCAATCAGTCTTGGAAAAAAAGTTTATGTCTTTTGAATAGGGAGTTTAATCCATTCACGTTTAAGGGAGTTATTGACAAGTGTTGCTTAATTCATGTCATTTAATTGCTTCTTGTTTAGATGGTTTGAATATCTTTTGAACATTATTTCCCCTTTTATTTCTCTTCTTCAATGTTAGTTGGAAATTTAAGATGGGATGATTTAGCTTCTTTCTCTTTCTTGCTGGCTTTTTTGTTTTAATGGTGGGTTTTGCTCTTTCTTCTGTATTTGTGATAATGGTCACCTTTATTCAGATTCCTGATGAACGACTCTCTTGAGAATTTCTTGCAGGGCTAGTCATGTGGTGGTGAACTCCCACAACTTTTGTTTGGGAAATACAGTATTTCTCCCTCATTTCTGAAGGAGAGCCTTGCTGGGTAATGAATTCTTGACTGACAATTTTTTCCTTTTGGTATTTTGAATATATCATTCTACTTTCTTCTGACCTGTAGGGATTTGGTTGAGAAGTCTGATGTTAATTTGATGGGGTTCCCCTATGAGTGACCTGACACTTTTCTCTTGCTGCTTTTAGAATTCTCTTTGTCTTTGAGCTTTGCAAAATTAACTATAATGTGTCTTGGGGAGGATCTTTTTGGATTGAATCTGTTTCGGTTTCTTTGAGCTTCCTGGATCTGAAGGTCTGTATCTCACCCTACACCTGGGAAGTTTTCTGTTACTATTTCCTTGAATAGTTTTTCAAAACCTTTTCCTTTCTCCTCCCCTTCAGGAATACTCACAATTTGGATGTTAGAGCACTTGAGGTTGTCTGCTATCTCTCTTAGATTTTCCTCATTATTTTTAATTCTTTTTTTCCTTTTTTATTGTCTGCCTGAGCTATTTCAAAAAGGACATCTTCAAGCTCTGAAATTCTTTCTCCTGCTTGTTCTATCCTGCTGCTCAAGGCTTCAGTTGTGTTTTTTATTTCATTGAGGGAATCTTTCATTTCTAGAAGTTCTGCTATACTCCTTTTTAAGATATTAACCTCTTTGTAGATTTTCTCCATCATATTCTGGATATTTTTTCTTGTTTCATTGTGTTTTTTAATTGAGTCTTTATTTCTTCAAGTATTCCTAAGATCATTGTTTGGAATTATTTTTCAGACATATCAAGGATTCCCTGTTCCATGAAGTTTGACTTTGGAGCATTACTATATTCTTTCAGTGGTGTCATTTCTTCTTGTTTATTTGTAGTTCTAGTATTTTTTTGTAGTTGTTGATGTTTGGTCATTTGGTAGAGGGTTTGCTTCTTCTATTGCACTGAGGTTTGCTGTGGAGTGGCCCTGGATGATACTGTGGTGGTGAATTGTCTTTGCTTTACAGTAGATATGAGGGTGGTTATGTTAAATCACCTTGGGTCCTGTTCCAGAATCTGTGGTTGTAGAATGAGACCCTAGTGGTATGCAGTTCTGCTGGGCTCTCGTGGCACTCCCCTCCCAGTCCATGGAGTAGGGGGTGGGTTGCCTCTGCTGTGCAGTTCTCCTGGACTCACCTCTGTTTATTAACTTTGATTTATATGAGTGAATAACTTTTTTATACATATCAAATTACTTAGTTTTAGTTAAATTTGTACATTCATTCTTCATTTAACAGTATTTTCTTATCTTACTTCAAACTTCCTGTAACTTTTAGTTCTCAATAACTGCATAATAATGTCATTTATATTTCTTTTAATTGACTTAACCCTTCCCAGGATTGAAACTTTAGATTGTTTTGGATGTTTTTTATTAAAATGCAAGGAATGATTCAGTAATCTCTGGCATAAATTACTACTACTATTAATTTTTTAAAAGATAACTCTCTGAAGTAGAATTTCTAAGACAATAAATATGAGCACTTTTAACAGTTTATCCTCATTGGTAAATTTACATGAATTTCTGAATAATTTCCATGTGTTTGCTTCCAAAGGTTTTGGCATGGAAGCCACACTGCTTCTGGTTGTTGGCTATTCTCATACTAGAGGTGTAGCTATCTCATTCTTGGTACTTGCAGTGGGATTCAGCGGATTTGCTATATCTGGTAAAACACAATTTTTTTTCTTTGTACTTATGACATCATGATTTTGGGTGATGATAAAAGTTATATATATATATATATACACACACACACACACACACACACACACACACACACATATGTGTGTATCTTTATATATATATATATATATATATATATATATATATATATATATATATATATATATATATATATATATATATATATATATATATATATATATATATATATATATATATATATATATATATATATATATATATATATATATATATATATATATATATATATATATATATATATATATATATATATATATATATATATATATATATATATATATATATATATATATATATATATATATATATATATATATATATATATATATATATATATATATATATATATATATATATATATATATATATATATATATATATATATATATATATATATATATATATATATATATATATATATATATATATACACACACACACACACACACATATGTGTGTATCTTTATATATATATATATATTATATTAAAGTAGATTCTTCCCTCTTCAATATTTTGAATATTACTCAACATATTAACAATAGAAAATAAAAATAATAAAACATTTAGAAAACATTATTTGGATTTGTTGCTACCTACTTTTCCCTCTGCTTATTTTTGTTCTTGTTGTTAAGAGAACATTTCCTCCTCATTGTGGAGTGAGCATCACCTATTAAGTATTGTATGGAAAATTGTACCTCATTCAATTCCCATTATACCCCTGAGCTAAATAACCAAGAAGCAATTATTAGTAGTTATTAAGCATATGCTGTGTACCCAGTATCTTTTAAGGAGCTGTGGTGTGATGTTCTGTAACTATTTACTCTTCTAAGAGGCTCAGGATTCCTTGAGTCAAAACTTATATGTGTATTTCAGGTTTCAATGTTAATCACTTGGATATTGCTCCAAGATATGCCAGTATTTTAATGGGCATTTCGAATGGTGTCGGCACATTGTCAGGAATGGTTTGCCCTATCATTGTTGGTGCAATGACAAAGAATAAGGTAAGATGGAGTAAAACAGATGTTGAGCTGTAGAAGATTCTCTCTCATGGTTGGAAAAGAGTCACTATGTTTTCCTTGGCATTTTCTTTCTGGTCCAGTAACCACATGTCTGAGCAGGAAAGGTAATTAAGGCTCAGAAGAAAACACCTCTCTAGGAACTTCGAAAGAGTCCATTTCTTCAACCAATAAGCAACATGCTTCTCAACACCTTTTAATATTTCTGATATCC